ATTGTAAAGGCGTAATAGGACTGCAAGGGCTGACTGATGTAAATTTTTGTAGCATACGAATATGAATGTCGTCGGGCCCAGCGCCGATGATCGACAAGCTGAGAGTGTTGCCTCCATTTCTTGAAGTGTAAAGGCACATTTTACTGTTCTTCTCTGAGAGAAGAAAAGTCCAAAGGTGCTAACTTTTCTGGCAGACTTTGAGGAAAGAAATGAGGGGCATAGATGGAGTCCCTGAGAAATACGGACCAGATGATTGCCAATTTCATTTGGGAAAATCTAGTGGGTTTGCTATATCAACACCGCAACCCGCAGAACAGGAGCCGGGTCAGGAGAATATTTACCACTCAGTTTTCGTACTTTTTTCCAGACTGCACTCATAGAGGAAGCAGAGGTGATGGTGGAGACATAATTTCCCCCAGCAAGTGCGTTTAGCGTCACGGATGACACGGCGAGCGATCGCACGCTTCTGTTTAAAATCAAGGAGTCGCTCTGTGGGTTTTATTGTACCGGTACCTGCCCCATGCAGCGCGTTTCAAACGTACTGCACGAGCACAAGCAGGAGACCACCAAGCACGCATTTCTGAGAATGCCTGCCCGAAGTTTGGGGTATTTGAATGAAAGCTGCGGTGAAAACGGAGGACGAGAAGAGGTGTAAAAGCTCATCGATGGAGGACGAAGAAGGAACCTCTTTTAAAAAAAAAGTCAGGTGTGAGTAAAGGTTCCAATTTGCCCGTAAATTGCCAGCGTGGGGTGGGAAAAGGTGGCGAATATGAAGGGGAAGTAAGAATGATTGGGAAATGATCACTGTCAAGTAAGTCCGGGAGAACAGACCAAGTAAAGTCTAATGCGGCGGAGGAAGAAACAAAATGAGAGATCTATGCAAGAGAGAGTATGAGTCCGAGGGTCAAAATGGGTTTTGTGTACCTGTATTTAAAACATGGAGGGGGTGGGTGGCAAGAAAAGCCCTAACTGAATTCCACGGGAAACAGTGAGACCCTCCCCAGAGGAAATGGTGGGCAATAAAAAACACCAAGTAACAGAATCGGTGGCGGTAATGACGAAACAAGGAAGGCAAAATCCGGGAAAAGATAATGCCCGAGAAGGAGAGAGATATAAAGAACAGAGCGTATAACCACCTATGTAAGTGATACGGGCTGCTGTGTAATGCAGCGAAGTAGAAAAAAATAGCTGATGGTACGGAATATCAGTGCGGGGAAGAAGGGCAAATTTCATTAAAGGTCCCATCAGAAAAAGGATCTGAAGAATACAATAAATTATAGCCTGAGATGTGAGAAATAACAGCAGAGTGTAATTTTGGTTCCTGTAAGCAAACACCAACAGGGGCAAACTGGGAGAGAACATCTGAAGCTCACCCCGAATTACCCCTGAGGCCGCGTATAATTTCCCCTGTAAAAAGGCCATGATTGGCAATGATAAAGATACTTGAAAACCCAGGTAAGGGTTCCTACGGACAAAGGGTTAGAAAAGTCCACATGCGGAGGCAGTGGAAAATTTTTCAAGCAGCGAAGGAACGGTGCGCTGTGAAGAAAGGAGTTGCGCAGATGGAGCAGAGGAGAGAGAAAGAGCGGAAAGGGATCAGTGTCCATTGATGGTTTGGTCTCTGCAATATATTCGAGATTGCTTCAAGTGTTTCGGAATTCAAAGATGTCGTATGGGAGACAATATTGGAATGGTAGGGGGAGGATGAGTAAAGATTGGGAAATGTATTGGACTGTACCAAGGTAGGGGGGGGGGGCGAAAGGGTGGAGGGAACTGGAGAAGCGTGGCAGGGGACAGAAGAGACAGGAACCTGGGAAAGGGGGCAGAAAAGGAAGAAACTTGGGAGGGAACAGGGGAGGAAGGTACATTACGAGGAGGAGGGTGAACCTCTGCACTTGTAACTGAGCCAGTGAGAGGGGAAGAACTAGGGACAGAGACAGGAGGGTAAAATGAGGAGGTGGAAGATGGGTAGGAGGTGTTACCGGACCCTTTTTTTGACTTTTGAGAAGTAGAGGGGCGATTGGGAAGAGGTGTCGTACGAGGGCTCGTCGATACTGAGGCTTGTAAAAAGAGAACTCGAAGAAGCGAGATTAGACTGAGGCGTTGAAGTAGGGGCGTCAGAGCCGAGGACAGCAAAAGGATTAGATACAGGAGTGATTTATGGGAGAGGTAACCACAGAGGTGGGGGTAGAAAGATGGATACCAGAAGTGGGGGGGCGTTTTGAAACACGGGGAAAAAGAAACACGTGGGAGTCTCCCTTGGGGGGCGGGGATGAGAAAAATGCCATGGCATAAGGGAGACCTTCTGTCTCTTTTGAGTAACGGATTTCCCGCTCGTTTAAATAGACCTGACAACGGCGAGAGTACGAAGGGTGAGCCTCATGACAGTTAAGGGAAGAGGGAGATCGATTGCAAGACGTATTAGAATGGTCTCGGCACCACAGACTGGGCATTCGGCGATAGATCTGCAATATTTTGCTGGATGGCCAAATCGCCAGCAATTCTACACTGTTGTGGTGTAGGGATCACCTTTCGAACTTGTAACCGATGTCCTGCTATAAACGGAGGAGGGGGGTTCTCGCTGTCAAAAGTTAAACGAGCCCCCATTGCTAGGGTATCGTCTCCGCCCACGGGGAGGAAGAACGTAAGTGTCTACCTTGAGGATTGGGAGATCTTGGAGTTCCACTGTTCTAGAATGTCGGTGCCACATGTCTGGAAATTTTGTTGAACTAAAGGTATGGGGCAGAATAACGGTACCACTACAAGAAAATTTAGGGAATGATGTTTTTCAAGGGTACAGGAACAGTATCTATATGGGAAAAAACAGAGAGCTCCCCGAGCCTGGGGTAGCATTCTGTAAAAGGGAATGATGCGCGTTACCGCTCTTAAGAGCATGAAAAGAAATATCTTTACAACATTTGGGGTAGGAGTGCCCTTTCCAATAAATATGGTCAGAAAGATAGGCAGAGAGGAAGTTTGGGCGTAAAGTGAAGAATTAGTCCACTGTTCAGTCTGAAACTGAGCGTGGAAAGGTTAAGTGAAGGACGTGTCGATCGTTTCTGAGAGAACGAGAAGGTGAAGGTGGAGAAGTAACATCAGCAGGTAATTGTCGTTGACGTTTAAAGGGGTGGACCAGAGTTGGTCCGACGTGGAACGGGTTTGGCGATTTGAAAATTGCCGCACCGTAGAGGGAGAGGCCGGAAGCATAGTCAGAGGAGAGCGAAGGTCTGATAAATCGAAGGAGTCAGTCGGGCCTCAGTACCTGAAGCGGGTAGGAAACAGCACCGGCAATAGGTACAGAGGCCCGAGGAATGTCTGAAGAGTGGTCCAAAGACAGGCGGGGTCAGAACGGGGTGCGGTATCAAGAAGGGGCCCGGGGTACCAGGTTCATGGACTAGGGCTGCCATGGTTAGGTTACTTCTTTCTTTTTGTTTTAAGAAAAAAAAAGAAAGAAGAAAAGAAAATAAAATAAAAAAAAGAAAAAAAAAGGGGGGACCGGGAGGGATAGTTCCTAGGAGGAATGAAAGGGCCAGAAATCTCCCTCCGCGCCCAAGAGGACTCGACACCGCTAGTAGCCAGATGCAGCATGGAACCCGTGCCATACCCTACCCTTCATGCCAGTAAACCAGCAATCTGGGATAGCAACCTCACATCTGCCGACTACCTCGGTGGACAAAAGAGAGGGGGGCCGGATTCCGCCCCACAAAGCATACCTCCTTCAGCCACCACCCCCGGAATCCGAAAGGTGGCTTCCAGAGATAAAACCCGCGCCCAAAAAACACCCAAAGCTACTCCGGGATAAACCCGGGGAGGGATCGGGACATCCCCAGGCAATCCAGATTCCCGGCAAACTACGCCACCGCCAAGAAACCTCAACCCGGGAAGGGATGGACCCCGGTGTCCTTTCCCCACCTAGGAACTAGCGCGCCTGTGGGAGAAATCACGAAGGCTAAAAAGAGGAAGGGCAAAAGGGAGGGGTGAGGAGGAGGAGGAGGAATGGAAAAAGGGGAGGATGGGATAGGGGAGGGGAGAATGGGGGGTAATTAGGTTCGGTCTGAGGAAGAAGACCGACAGGGCTAATTCCTCAGACCAAGAGCCTCTTCACCACGCCAAGGAGCCCCCCTTGAAGAGGTAAAGGATCCGGAGGCTCTCCTATGGAAAACAACGCCTAGTCAAATTTTTTTTTTTTGCCATATATGGCTCCTCAAAGCTGGATCCTAAGACAGTGTTTAAGGAACACAAAACCCTTTTTTATCTGAATCTAACAAGAGAAAAAATGGAGCAAAGAGAGTATGTAAAGGGCTGTCAGAAAAAGGAAAGAAGCAGAAGGAGAAGCAAGTTGAGGGAACAATAAAACCCAATTGCTTTTTCAGGGCCTTTTTTCATCTCCAAACATGACCTCAAAAACCCC